TAAGTTACATAGAATGACCTTCTTATATCTTGCGCTATTCGTCACCCCTTCGGACAGCCTTACTTTAGTTTGCCCGCCGTGAGCTACAAAGAAGTCCAAAATCTGTTACGGTCAGGGATGAGCAATGGTGGCGTCACCGTCTGCGGCTGGACGCTGTGTGGGTTTGAGTTCGGTTCCGCATCTTCAACGTAGGCCGGTTTGACACGGTCAAGGCTGACGGTGTCAGACTAGCCGTTGTGATGGATGACAAAATCCTTGTCATATGGCCGAACAACTTTGTAAGGCCCGCCATAGAGAATGTGAAAGGGTCGACGAACAGCGTCACGCCCGACCAGGACGAACCTGCACTTGTCAAGGTCAGGACAAACGAAGGAATTGGTCGGTGATGCTCGAGGAGGCGTTGCGCTGCGATTGCGCATAGCACTGTATAGTAGGTCCACATTTCCGCTAGGATTAAAAGACGTTAGCGTGTTTGAAGGGGAGCCTAACTCACCGGACAGTCGTAGGGAGGTTTCGAAAATAAGATCAGCTGCGGTGCAACCGATGTCCTCTTTGAAAGTAGAACGGATGGACATCATCACTAAAGGGAGATTGTCAAACTATCAGGATGATTCGATATGGGCCATGAGGGCTGTCTGCAGCTGTTGATGCAAATTTTCCAAGAGGTCATTGGCCTGGGAATGGTATACCGTCGTGCACATCTGGTTGTTTCAAAGGCGAGAAGTGGACTGACCGAACAAGGCGGACTCGAAATGGGATCGGCGGTTAGTTTTAAAAGTCACAGGAACACCAAACTTGGAGGACCAGTGCGTTAGAAGTGCCTAGGCGAAGGTTTCCCCACTGACTTCTGGAATGGGCGGAGCAACCGGCTACAGGGCAAAACAGTCCTCGGTAGAACCGTAAGAGGGTGGGAGGGAACCTACCAGGTCAAGTTAGTTGCGACTCAACTGCGTTTCAGGAGTGGAGAAACTCTATTGAAAATGCGGTGTGTCAATGAATTTGGTCTGTTGGCACGGGAGACAAGATCGGGTCCAAGATCGCACATCTCGGTTGATGTTGTGCCAGACGAATCGATCACTGATGAGTTTCACTGTTGCCCGAACTCAAGGGTGAGATGGACCGTGAAGGAATCTGAGGACCTGTTGTCGCAAAGTTACTGAGACAAAAAAGACGTTCGTATCCGGTGGAAATGTCACAAGTGTTGGTGCCAGTTGCAGTGGGAAAGGGGATATTCTTGAGAGTCTTCGTGGCGAATTTTGAGAAGTTCCTCGTCAGATCTTTGAGCTTCAGCCACGAGCGTGAAGTCGATGGGCTGTGTTGCGATGGAGTCCACCTCTATTTGTGATAGGGGATCAGCGACCACATTTTCCTTACCGTGGACATATAGGATGTCGTAGGAAAACTAATAGATGAAATCAAGATGAGTTCCCTCCATCTGCTTATAGGTTTCGCACGCAAACTTGAAGTAAATTATTTGGTAAAGTTGTGGCGCCCTTCATAGGCTCAGAGCCTTGTTACGCTCGCTGTCCCAGTCTAAGCAGGTGAAGTTGTGTTTCTTGATAAAATGATGTTTTTTTTCTTTGGTGTAAATGCCCAATTTCATTAGTAGAATTGCACAGTAGAAGGCACAGTATCGATCAATTATAAATTGATTCCCGTTCCGATTTGTTTTGTAAAACTGCGAGACGTTCTGTGTGGGGTCTGTGATAAAGGCTTTACGCTTAAAACAAGCAGGCATTGACACATTGATGTTATTCATGAGGGCGGTTATCCTTCTTCAAAAACTGTCCTGTTAAATTACGTGGGAGATGAAGAAGAAGAATGCTATATTGAGGATTTTACGAACCTAAATTTTCAGCAAAAATGGCTCCATTCACGGAGAGCAGATGGTAACGTAAATA